TGAAAACATTGGTGAATGCCACGAATTCTCCTAAATCACTCGTACGCACAACTTAATCTGTGCGTACGAACGGTTCTTGCATGAGGCCCATTGACTCTAAAAGTGCTGCAGGTTTAGCAACATTCTCACAACGTGACAACTTTTTTTTTGGACATTTTCATACTGAAGTTACCAAAGAATCCTCAAGATGATTCTGCAAACCTGCAGGAGTCTGACGGAGCGCTGGAGGACAAACAGGTAGACAGCATCACTTCCTGTTGTTCCACTAGAATAACCACTGCAGTTTATGCTAACAAGGTGGGAATTTGTGCCGCCATCTTGTTCTGTGCTACCTGAGCATACTTTGTGACTGAACAGCAGCAGACTACAAACGCGAGGGTAAAATAAAATCAAACACGATCAAGGAGACCCACTCATCGTACAGCTCAGTGGTCATCTAGCTTCAGTGTGTAATGAATGTAGCACCTAACAAAATGGCAGCCAAAAACTTAACCATTCCAGGCGTTTCTCTATATATTTCAGTGATTTTTATCACAAATCTTAGTTAAATGTGTTCGATGCTTCATGGTTTAGAGTCCAGGGATGATGAGAGGTGTGATTCAGAAAGTCAACCCCTTCAAATCCTCCCAGCCAAAGGTACCGTTTGTTCTCATTATCCGAGGTTTTAATGGAACTATAAAATAAAAGCATGCCTTGTTAGGCTCAGTCTGGCTGTTGTTTCTCAGCAGACTGAACCTCCACACACTGACCTCTCCTCCAGCAACAATGTCCCAGAGAAGCAGGTACAAAACTATTTTTAAATATTCATTTAAATCATGAGAAACAGAACATTTTACCCCACCATCATTAGATGTGTTTTTATCAATTTAATGATTTAATATTTTATGAAGCACAAGTTTTATAACTATATAAACAAACATGTTCCAACCTGTTTGTGTCATATTTTGTTTTGACCACTAGATGGAGCCAAAACAAACAATTTTTCTGTTTACTGGACACGACTGGTTATGAATACACACACTCAGTTTAGATTTTTTTCTTGTATATTATGGTTTTTTTTTTTTTTTTTTTGAAGAACCCTGAGATGTTCAAAGAGATGATGCAGAAAGTTAACCCCTTCAGGTCCAACACGCAGGTATTAAAGCTTTCTGATTGCATTTTATTTGAAAAAAGCTTGATTTAGGATGCTGTTTATGACTTATGTATGAAGAATAATCATGGTTAAAAGACCTGTGGGCTGCTGGGTAAGCAGATGACTTAATGTGTTGCAGGTGGCAGCGGGTGTTTGTGAGACGGACTCTGTGCATCCTGCTCTCAGCATCCAGGTACATGTTTCACTTCAAGGTTTCCAGCTTGTTGAGGGTTCGCTTCCAGTTTTCTTTACATCATTTTGGCGAAATCTTAAATTTCCTCTAACTCAACACTGTTCAGATCTGTTGAAGTGGGGTTCTGTGGAAATGTTTTAAACAAATAATATCTTACCTGTTGTAGATGAGCTCTTGAAAAAGCTTTTTTTTAAAAAATAAACAGACCGAACGAGGTCACAGCAGTTTATATAAACACTTAGCAGTTGTCAGTAGTTGTTCTGTAAAGTGTTAAAATTTTGAAAAAACAAACAAACATAATATTGTTAGATTTCCCTGGAGAGGGAGCTCTTAATACAGTTAGGACTCATGACACGAGAGGATAATGTTGCAGATAAATCTTGTTCGGAGTCAGAATGTCTGCTAGCATCAGGACAAGTTTATCTGTGAAGACTGTGTGATCATGTGAAGTGAACAATGTTGTGACACCAGATAAGCAGGAAGGAACAAAACTRGTTTATATGCTAGTACTTCAGAAAGTGGAAACGCTAATTGTGAGTCTGAATATTTAAAATTGTTGAGCAAACTGTTTAACAAATCTCCTTTGTCTCATATAAACTGTCAATGGGTCTGAATTGGATCAAAGTATAGTTTTTCTGTCTAGTCTACAAAAGAGAAATTGCCATTATTGCCCCATATCAAACTTAGGATTCAATAATGTTTTTCTGTATATCTGTCTGTCTGAAGAGTTAGCTAAATATCTTACTCTGTGTACAGATTTTATTTACATTTTCAAAACTACAACTGATTGATCTTTTGGAGACAGCCCAGTTCAAAATGGCTTCCAGTCAACGTTAGCCAACACAAAAACAGTTTGATTTAGTCATAAATTGAGATATAATTTGGTGTGGTAGTATTCCAAGAACAAGCATCTCATGAGATTATGTAATTTAATCGCGATTATTCTCAAGATATTTTTTTGCGATTAATCTCATTGGGCCTCATGCAAGAACATGTTTGTATTCTTATCCTAAATTTCTCTTACTTTTGTTCGCACAAAAGATTCGTACGAACATGTCACG